TCTCCAGAATATTGAGCCATTTTTGAGCCATAAATCTCAAAAGAAATAGGAAAGTGTGTAGGGAAGAAATGACTTAACCATCCATCAACATAATGAACCAGAAAACATGCAGATGACGAACCCAAATGGACAGATTTAGCAATATCATTTAATCCTCTATAAATAGTTGCTAAGAATGGAATAGTAAGACTGAAAGTTTGATCTACCGCCATTAAGCTAGATAGCTTGAAAGTCTCAGGTCGAATTCATCAACACTCGTTGATGGGAAAAGCAAACACACATAACCAATAAGAAAGAAAAGTTGCTATATAAGTATCTCCCCTCATTCCTGCTTCAACTTTAAATTCTTCAAAGAATTGAAATTGCTCACGTGACCAGTTCTTGAACAGGCCAATGACTTCACTAGGATTATAAGTGGACTCCAATCTTGACGACTTTATCACTCTTTTTGTAGGAGGTTTTGAATAACGCGCTTGACCTTTAAACCAAAAGTTAACCCATGCTTCGACTGAAACATGTGGTGGACTTTCTCTTTTATGACAAAGACGATAAAAGGCAACAAACAAATATTCATAGCTTTTTGGCACAAATTTCCCTTTGACATCACTTTCTTTCAATTAACTCAAAAGGACTTGGAATCACTCCTTCATAAAATTGCCATGAATAGGAGTCTTCCAAACTTATACAAATCCCATAATGAGATTGATAACTCCCCTTGAGCAGTATGCAAAGAATTAGTATTTGGACACCATCCTTCACAAAAGGCTCGTTTAATATTTGTGTTTTGGTCATAAGTATATAGAGAAGCATAAACTGCATAATAAATATGAGCAGTGTGGAGGATCATTTCATCACAAATGAGTACATCTTCAAGCCATTCCCAATATTTTGAATAAATTGAAACTCACCATTAATCTTGAAGATAGTACCCCAACTTGCTTCACCCAAAATAATGCGACTACCTAAGGTCACAAATTTGACTTCCATGGCTGTGGACTCATGAAGTGTCGATTGAAGAATAAACTTATGAGAATTCTTGGAAGTTTCAATGGACCAATCTTTTGAAATAAGAACATCGACAAGCCACTACTAGAAACACCTCTAATTTCAGTCTGAAAATATGGAAAATTAGTCTGAAAATAAATATTCAGACCGTTATTGATCTGGATAGTTGGTCTAAAAAAACCGAATCTAAATAACTTTATATTCAGATCGACATAATATCAATCTGAATATAATATATTTTTAGACCAAAGTTGGTCTGAATAATGATTGAAATTTTGACCATGTCGTAGCTTCAATCAGACCGAAAATGATATGAATATACAAACAATTTCAGACCGACAATGGCCTGAAAAATAGTGGCCTTATCTGCGAAATCGAAAAGATATGATCTTAATTTAGATATACTTTGAAAACTTTTTTAGACCAAAAATGATCTAAAATTTGAGGGCTTATTTAAAGAAACAAAAAAATTTAGTCCTTTAGTGTCAATATGCTGAAACTATTTTCAAACCAATATTGGTATGAAATTTAAGGACTTATTTAGAAAAATTAAAAAGTTCAATCCTTATATGTCATTGGATCGAAACTTTTTTACAAAGTTATCCAAACCAACTACGGTCTGAAATATAACTACACAACAATTAAAAAGAAAAAAAGAAAGAAAGAAAGAAAGAAAGAAAGAAAGAAATATTATATATTATATGTCTAAAAAATTCCCAAAAAAATATTTCTTCTATATACAAATATTTACACATTATAAAAATTAAAAAAATATATATTATAACACATTACATATTATATAATATTTTCTTAAATTAAAAATAAAATATACAACATAAACAAAATTAAAAGTAAAACACCCCCATAATAATTGACATATAATTACTGAAATATAATTTCAAAGAAAATTAATAAAATCTATAATATAAAAAAATACTCAAGCCTATTTTTATATCTTGTAAATTTAATAATTTCCTACAAAAATAAATGAAATTGAATTAGTAAGATAACATGGAATTAGAAAAAGCATTAAAAGTAAACAAATATGTATGTATAGAAGCAAAGTTTAAGATTTACCAACTTTTCATAATAACCTACAAAAAAAAAGTTAGTAATACAAGGGAAAATAAAATTAAGTACAACTAATATCACAAATTAACAAAACAAAAACAAAATATAAAATTATAAGCATAAAAACAACAAATATAGTCAAAAATAGAAGAAAAAAGAGGGAAGGGAAGAGAACAAAACAAGAAGAAAGAGGAGGACTTGAGAAAAATGAAAAGAAGAAAGGAAAAAAGGCATGAGAAATTAAAAGGGCAACACAAAGATGAGGGGAAGCAAAGATATTAGAAGCATGAGAGAAATAAGAGACGGAAATCAGATAGAAAATGGGGAGGAGAAGAAGGAAAGCAGAGAAAATGTAGACAAAAAAAATCAATGGAGGAGGTAGTAGGCATGGAAATATATAGGCAAATTTATTTCGGACTATAATCAATCTGGAATATATTCAATTGACATTTGGTGCCCATAATAAAAATTTTGAATGTGGGGAAATTTTTTAGCGGTTTTTCATTTTAGACCGTTATTGGTCTGAAAATTGTTAAAAAGTTTAAAATTTTCGCATTTAAAATTTTCGCAGAAAAGGCAGCAAAAATATTCAGACCGAAGTTGGTCTAAATAATAAAACCTAAAAAAAAACATACAACAATGAAAAATATATTTAAGAAAAAAAAAGAATGTTATATTCGAACCACTGTTGGTCCAAACATGTTTTTCAAGCCAACAGTGGTCCGAATAGTAGAAATCTTTTTATTTTTCCCAAATCGTGCAAGATTCATTCTACTCCCATTCAAGCAACATGCTTTAAAAGTCTTGAATGTCATAGAGCTACCCTTAAAATTAGCAATACAAAACCTACAAGTTTGTGGTTTAGGAATAGCATGGCATAACTTTAAAAGTAATGATCTTAACTCTATGTATTTGTGGCTTTGCAATGAGATTGCATTCCACCACCATGAAGTCATTTTGAGCGACTAACTTATCTTGTCAGGGTTATGAGTGACTATAGCAGTGAAGTGCACGCATTTGGTTTTGGTAGAAACGGAATCGGAGCTCGTTTTGGTCAAATTGTCCTTAAATGAAAAGAATGAAAATGTCTCAAAGCAGAAGCTTCTAGATTTTGCTACACATATTCGGACCATTATTGGTCCGAATATGTTTTCCAGACGAACAGTGGTCCGTATGTAGTAGAATTCTTTTTTTTTTTTTCCCTAAACCATGCAAGATTTGTTCTACTCACGTTCAAGGAACATGCTTTAAAAGTCTTGAATGTCATAGAATCTATCCTTAAAATTAGCAATACAAAACCTACAAGTTTGTAGTTTAGGAATAGTATGGCATCACTTTAAAAGTAATGATCTTAACTCTATGCATTTGTGGCTTTGCAGTGATATTGCATTCCACCACCGTGAAGTCATTTTGAGTGACTAACTTATCTTGTCGGGGTTAGGAGTGACTATAGTAGTGAAGTGCATGCATCTGGTTTTGGTAGAAACAGAATCGAAGCTCGTTTTGATCAAATTGTCCTTAAATGAAAAGAATGAAAATGTCTCAAAGCAAAAGCTTCTAGATTCTGCTACACATATTCGGACCACTATTGGTCTGGTTATGTTTTTCAGACCAACAGTGATCCAAATATGTACAGTAGAAATCTTTTTTTTTTCCCCTAAACCGTGCAAGATTTGTGCTACTCTCGTTCAAGGAACATGCTTCAAAAGTCTTGAATGCCATAGAATCTATCCTTAAAATTAGCAATACCAAGCCTACATGTTTGTGGTTTAGGAATGGTATACCATAACCTTAAAAGTAATAATCTTAACTCTACGTGGTTGTGGTTTTGCAATGTTGTTGCGTTCTGCCACCGTGAAGCCATTTTCAATGACTAACTTATCATGTCAAGGTTATGAGTGACTATAGTAGTGAAGTGCACACATCTAGTTTGATAGAAACGGAATCGGGCCTCATTTCAATTGAATTGTCGTTAAATGAAAAAAATGAAAAAGTCTCAGAGCAAAAGCTTCTAGATTCTGCTGCACATATTCGGACCATTATTGGTCCGAATATTTTTTCCCAACCAACAGTGGTTTGAATATGTGCAGCAAAATTCTTTTTTTTTTTTTTCCCTAAATCATGCAAGAACAGAGCGGAAAGCTTCTAGATTCTACTGCACATATTTGGACCACCATTGAGCCAAATAGGTTTCCCAGACCAACAGTGATCCGAATATGTGCAACATAGGTCTTTTTTTTTTTCTTTTACACCCCAAACCGTGCACAATTCATTTTAAATTGATCAATGTTAGTATTTTAAATAAAATAAATATAATTATATAATTATA